ATTGTAAGACTCAGTACGGTGGAGGTCCAAAGCTCAAAATTTCTATATACTCTGAGCGACTCATAAGATGAAAAATTGCCGAAATCCCTGAAATTTGATCGAGGGAGTTGGATTAAAAGTTTTGGTTTGGATGTTTCCATTAGTACAATGCAAAGGAAATTACGATCTTTCGGTTTCAAAAACTACGTCGCAAAAAAACGACCTATAATTTCCATTGCTGATATAACTCACACACTGACTGACATATTCGGAATACGGTTTGTTGAGTAATGAAAACCATTATATGTAGTATATGGGAAGCGGGGTAATTCGTAGATCAATTTCACATGTTTTTGGAATTAAACTAAAGTATATTCAATATTATATGCTCAGTTCATTTTGCTAAGATATTCTACATATTGACCAATATATACGGTATAAAGCCAACCGGAAGTTTGGAAATATTTTATTACATATATGGGAGATAGGGGTTATATTGAACCGATTTTATCTATTTCTGGCATTACCATAATTTCATTAAGATACCACACATACTATCACCAATATATAAGGAGTATAGTCAACCGTATGCTTGAAAATCCTTATATAAAATATATGAGGGCTAGGGCAAATTTTCACCGAATGTACAAAGAAGGACCATTATTAGGAAAAGATTATCACTCATTTTCATCAAGATATACAATATATGTCATATAAAGTCAACTGGAATTTCAAAAATATGGCGGCTAAGGGACGTATTAATCCTATTCAGTCCATTTTTGTCATAGAGGCAAATTATTATCAGTAAAGAATTTGCTCCGCATTTCAAGATTGACCGAAATTTTCGATAAAATGTTCGCAGTAGGAACTGATGTCCACGTATTCGGTATCTGGCTTGAACAGTTGTAGTCCGAGTTTGACAATTTTTGGAAATAGAGTAAATGTACTATTCGTGTAAAGTTTTATTCCGATACAATCATTGATGCTTGATTTGTGTACTGAAAAGTGAAAGAATGAGATGGAATTTAAAATTGCGTTATACAGAAAGTAGGCGTGGTTGTAGTTCGATTTCGTCTATTTTTGCACCGTAACATAAGAATGTCAGAATAATGTTTTGTACTGAATTTAGTTGAAATTGGTCTAGGAAAATATATGATTTCACTTAAATTTGGGTTGATGATAGTCCAATTTTGACACCTCTATAAATGTCATTGTGTCATCTCGGGTTCTAAATTTAAGCCCACTTTTCAAAATTGTTTAAATCACATATGTTCCTTCCTACTACAATTTTTTGTACCAAATAACAGTCTTGTATCTTATAGTGGAGCATAGTTATAGCTCTTTATATGTCTAGATTAGGCGTTTTGTGGGCGTAGCAATGGTCCGATTATGCTCAACTGCAACAACAAAGTTCTAATGAATCATACCACCGTTAGGTGAACGAAACTATTATACTCTGTAGTAACATGTTGCAAGAGTATAAAAAATACAGAGTTTTCTAAAAACTTCCAATGAAATTAATTAATAAAAATTGGAGGAATATGTTATATACTTCTTCTTTCTTTAAATTTATTTAAATTGTAAGTTTCAATACTTTTACAATCAGCACTATTTATTGTTGTCCTACGTGCTTTTAATAGAAGAAGTAGGGCTGCCTAAGTCGAATACAAATACTTAGCATCGCCTTTGTTGTTATTTTATCGTAATTTGTTGCATCAAGAATGTCAGCATGCATGCAGAATATTTATACGCATGGCGCATATTGGGAATTACTGGTAGTTGGTAGTTTTTGCGCCTTTTGCATGTGTTCTGAGTACTGATAGTAATATAAAAAATAAAAATAACCATAAGGAAGAGGAATGCTGAGCTATTCTTGCACTAAATTTTAATTAATTTTCAAACTGTATGCAACTGAAATTATAATCGTTTACAGTATGAGCTTGTATATAGCTTCATATATTCAATATAACTAAATCAGTATAAAGTAACATATTTATTATATCACTGTTCGAAGAAAAAAAAGTGTGTAAATAATATTCTACAAATACACGTATGTACATATATATTCATAATTATTGTTTATTTTATCCATAATTTTCTTGTCAATATATTATTTACATGTAAATGTTTGTAGGAACATACATTCTTATAAAGCAATTACACGGCCCAAAAGAAAAATGTACAGAACAGATTGTAGGGCTTCTTGTAAAAACACTGAAATTCTATTTCATTATAAAACAAAAAAAATTATTAGTACTCATAATACGTAACATGGCTCCCTTTACTTCTTAAAGCCATTCAGTAAATGTCTGTAAAATTAGTGAATAAGAATTGATTAGATGATTGTCAAAATATTACCATTCATAGTCTGTCAACATTCACACCTGCTCACCTTCTCAGTGGTAAAGGGATCCACTTTTAACAAATCTTTAGCGGAACGGTTGCAATTTATTGAAATGTTTACACATAATATAAAAGGTCTTGTATTCAGCTTGAGTGTTACGTATGTTGTATTTTCGCTAAAGTGAAATTTAAATTCCTGCCGAATTTATTTGTGATGCAGCATTTAAAAAATTACATACAAGTACATACATATATTGGATGATATAACAGCACAGGATATTCTATATGTTAAGCTATTCAAAGAAAGTTTAAAATATTTATTCATCACTACAAATAATAATCCATTATTTGTTGTGTTTAACCGGAATGGACCCGGATTTTTCCCGGCCAGTGATTGTCAGCTCGGCAGAATTCTGCCGCTACAGCAACAAGAACAGATAGGCGCCTCTTTCTTTTAGCGTACGCATAAACATACAAATGTATTATATTATTTTCAAGTTTCTGCCAACTACTTTTGAGGAATTAATTTAATTGCAGTAGGACAGAGCGAACGAAATGGAACAGATCATCTAAACACGACAAAATACTCAATGGCCAAGCGTACATATATTACTTTTACGATCGTTTTAATGGGCTATTTACGGTTTACTCGTTTGAGTACAAATCTGTTGTTCGGAATTTTGATGATGACGACAACATCACATTGATTATAGCAGTGTTATTTAAAAATATAACGTAAATGATGATCTTGGTAAATTTTAATGACTATTTAGGTGTCTGTTGTTTAATATTTATGTTTTATTGTTGTTTATTTTAGAATCCGATATATCAAACAGAATGTCGCTAATGACAAGTTTGATTTATTGTGATTGTAATGGTCTATTTGAAGAATAACTTAGAAAATATTATCTATTTGTGATCATTTACTATTTAAATAAGTGATTTTTTTTAGGTCTACGGTTATTTTATTATTTGTTTATTTTTCTCACAGACAATTATTGATAACAGTTGCAAAGATTAATTACTCTTGTTTAATCAAGGGAAACTGTTACATATAACTTTATTCAAAGCTTCAAATAGCCGTACACCCACATTATTTTTTTTCCATATTCTAAGCCTACTTTTCCCAGATTATTAATCCGGTAATAGTTTTTGTGTGTTTTTGATAAAACTATTTTCGGTCATTTCAATTAATTTGATATATACATATAAGTAACATATGATCATAGTCGACTAGTTTAAGAACTAACTAAGTACACTGCGTGTACTTCTGTTCTGATCTAAAAGATCTAAAAATTCAGCCGTCAGAAGTTAGAAGTAGATTAAAACCATAAGTCTCTCGATGTGTATTATGGCAAGATTGCTAATCGTACATATGCATGGGTGTACGTATATTGTATTTTTATACATATACTTCATTTGTTACGACATTTCCAAAAATTCGTTCTCAAATTTTTTAATAAAGATGTTGGCTTTTGTTTAATATGTAGTGCGCACCATCGTTTACCGTCAAAGTTCAGTAGTTGCTTTTAAGTACTAAAAAACGCTTTAACAGCTGAAATTTTAAACGAGCTCTAACTAGCCAAGTACACGATCTGGTGATTTAATCAGCAACTGTAATGCCAAGAAGACTTTTTAACTCTATACTAAACTCCTCATCGGTGTATCGGGGCCTACAAGCTAAGCATAAGATCAATGGCGTGAAATCACGTTCTCAAATAGCACAAACAAACAAAAAACGTAACTCAAAAAATATCATTAATATTCGTAATCGTTGGTCCCTCCTAAATATGCTTCCTTACCATTCCATGTACTGCACTTTACCATTAACGTAGCATAATATTGCGCCTCATTGCCCCTGTTGGCAGTCATCGAATTACGCATGCATAAAACGACACTGGAATTTGAACGTCAGGCTGCAACCAAGGCCCATGATGAAAGAGGCGAGTGAATGTTGATGAAGTTAATAGAGTTGCACAAAGTTAATAGAGTATCAGAATGAATAACTTTAATTAGTGACGTGAAGTAATAAGTAAAGCGAAAGACTTCTTTCGCAGTTGCAACTAAATTTTCATTGAGTTGTTACACAGAAACGTTTCAACGTTCACACGTTTTCCATGTAATATGAATTCATATATATATATGTATTCGAGTGCAATTTTCGTCATTATGATGTTTATATAAGAATAATAATAGAAAAATAGTTGAAAGCCAATAATGCCAATAATGTCTCATTTAAATTAACTTTACTTATTTCTAACATTATATCCTCCTCACCAAATTTTTCGTTTGATCGTAATCCTCATTTTATTTTAATAATTTCTATAGTTAACTCGAATATATTTATTATTATTTTTATTGGTAAATATAACTACATTGTTCTATTCATCTTGTTGGGAAATATAAAAAGAGTTTAGGTCTGAATTTCTTAGATTTATGTGAACGATTCCAAAGAAAACGTGCACAATTTCAGAGTAACTCCATTTTTTTTTAAGTATCGATGAAAGGTTTGTGCAGATGCATATATGCATGAAGGACAATGTTTGTTAAGGAAATATTTACACGGAGCGTTTAGCAATTTAAAACGCAAACTAAGTTAAAAAGCCTACCTAATCACTATAGTAACTCTAATAATTTTTTTCACCATGAAAATATAACTGAACATATTGAATACTTACCATTAAAGTCTGCGCAGACGACTCTCTCAAAGGGGCTTCCCATCCAATCTGAAAAGTAAAAAACACATGACCTTAGTAAAAATTTAGCTATTTTAGACATTTAGGTAATTTTATTTGCTTAAAAATACGCAATGGCCTTGGATGTGTAGTCAATACCGTACATACGTTAAAAATGTTAAATATGTTAGCATTTACCCTTTGAAAATACTAAAAACTGATTAAATTACTTTTAACTTTACGCTAAATAATTATTATACTAACCTTCACGGTTGGAATCTGTTTGTACAAAATAACATATCTAATATTGCTACAGCAAATATATTTTGTCAACTCTAGTATCACGTCGTAATGATTAAGCAATGAAAAATAATAAATCCTCCGCACTTTTATTATAAAATGATAGATATAGTAAAGCCGATGCTGGTACATATATATCACCAAATTTAGAACATTTAAAAAAATAATATTTTCAGAACTACATACAAGGGTTGCGACCATTATTTTTTATACTCTTGCAAAATCTTAAAACAGAGTATGATAGTTTTGTTCATCTAACGGTTTCTTGTATCACCTAAAAACAATCGAGTTAGATATAGGGTTATATATATATATATATATATGGTAAATGATCAGAATGATGAGATGAGTTGAAATCCGAGTGACTCTCTGTCTGTCGGTTTTAAAATTTTTTAAAAGTGGGCTTGGCCCGCCTCTTAATTGCTTATCAGGACATATCGTTTCGTCACCTCTTGATGATAAACACGACCACTCCCCATATAACGGTTGTGCTAAAAACTACTAAAACTGCAATAAATGAATAAAAAAATGCGGCAGAGACTTTATAAGGGCAGCTGTCAAAAAAATCACATATCTCCGAAAGTACTCCATTAATTTCAACCAAGTGTGGTACATAGGATTATTTTCACACTCCCATGTTACAGTCTGAAAATGGGCGAAATCGGACAGTAACCACTTTTTCCATTTTCCAGTATATAAATCAAACACTAATTAATATATCGGCAAAAAAATTTGTACGAATATTGCCTTTATGGTATGCCATCTCAGGTCTAAGAATTGTCAAAATCGGACCATAATTGTAAGATATACCGTATAATTGAAATTCGGGGAAAATATTTTTTTATATTAATATATCACATACCTACTATTAAGATTTTCGAACTTCCAACTGACTGAATACCACATATGTACAATATATCAGCCAATATGCTAGTTATTTTAATGAATTGAATGAAGAGAAAGCGTGGTTTTCTTATATACACTGTTATCTTTGAGCATAAAATGGATAAAATCGTGCAAAAACTTGCCTTAGCCAACTTATAACTGATATTCACGATTTTGAATTTGCATGGAAATCTTTAACAGAATTGCTTTGTTTGCCTTGTATTTCTTATAATACTTTTAAAAATCAAATTTCGAATAACAAAGACATAGCCATGCAAGGCAATTGCGCTCACTGCAGTACATCAAGAATAAAATATATTAAAGGAATCCGGCATCACTTCGCACTTGTAATTGAAATGTGTGCGCATCTTGCATTTGAATGTGTTATTTGAACAATGCATCACGAGGAAAAAACAAATGAGTTCAAACTATAATGCATGAAACGCTTGACAACACCACAATTCCAAATATTTCAAAATTTCTCTGCGTTACAATAAATTTCGCCAAAGGAAGCGAATATTTAAGTTTTAGTTAAAAAAGAAAGAATAAGAATTGATAAGTCTGCAATAACAAATGTGTATGTATGCATAACATACATTGTACATACATATGTAATATTTGTTAGCTACATATATTCCTCATTTGCTAATTACGCCTCTTCTGGGAACAGAGTTTGTTATGCTTTTATTTTACGTCAGCTTATAGCTATAACTACCTTATATAAAGTTGTCGACAAGATCGTAGTTAGCGACATAAATGTATTTCAAGTTATATGTATATGTATATATCTGAAATCCGGTATGCGAATGCATACATACTCGTACATATGTATATGGATATGGAGTCAAGCCCAGTATCAGCGATCCATGCCATGCTTGATAATATACCCTGCAAGGATATATATTTGGTGAAACAGGTTCGTCTTATATACTCTTTTGGATAGGGACCGACTCATTTGAATTTAAATGTATTAGAGTATACGTTAATAGTTGCTTTATTTATTTAACCCTATCTTATATACCACCCCATTCGGACTTATCTGTATACATGCAGCATGCTCTTTAATAAATAGTGCTACCTCGATGGCAAATAATGCAGATTCAATAATTGTATTAGGTGATTTCAATTTACCGTGTGCTTCGTGGAAACCTTCCGATGACTATATCGTGCCGATTTGCAATCGGTCATGTTTTAATGAGTTTTTCGAAAAAATTTCCGAGTTGGGTCTGAACCAAATTAATTTGATTCCGAATAAATTTGGTAAATGCTTAGATTTAGTATACGTTGATACCTCTGCAAAGTGTTCCGTTATTCAGAAAATCCTCTTGTTTTACCAGAGGACTCATATCATCCTGCTTTGGAAATATCTGTCGAAATCTCAGGCATTGTACGGGATAATAACCATCAAACTTCGTGCTTCTGTACTCGGTTTAACTTTGCAAAAGCTAATTTTAAAAAGTTAAATACAGAAATTTCTACAATAACATGGCCTAATTATAATGGTGACATTGAATTGAGTGTCTCTCATTTTAATAACATTATTATGAAATTATTTGAAAAGTATGTTCCAATAGTAATTGTTAATAAAAGCAAAAGTATAAGTCCGTGGTTTTCAAAAGAGTTATATAAATTGAAAAACAGAAAAACTCGAGCCTTTAAACATTTTAAAAAAACCGGTTTACTTGTCGACTATTCTAAATATTCTCTATTGCGTCGACAATATTTTGACCTAAACAAAAAATGTTATAATAATTACTTAAATAAAGTAAAAAAAAATATTGTAAGTAATCCAAAATCGTTTTATGAGTGCTGTGTTCGAATACTTTAATTAACGCTCCAGTTATTTCTGTAGAATACGTCCTTGTTAATTTAAATAAGTGAAAACCATCTTTTAGTTATGGCCCAGACATGATACCCTCATGCTTCCTAAAAAATAGTGCCAAATATATTTACTTGCCTTTGACAAGGATATTTAATTCCTCTCTTAAACACGGTATATTTCCTTCAATATGGAAACAGTCATTTATAATCCCTTTGCATAAAGGTGGATTTAGATCCAACATTGAAAACTATAGAGGTATCGCAAAACTATCAGTTATACCTAAACTTTTTGAAGCTATCATCACTGACCATATAACCTTTTCGCTTTCTCCGTTAATTTCCTCATCTCAGCATGGATTTCGTAAAGGGAACTCGACTATAACAAACTTACTTGAATTTGTAAACCATGTATCATTGGGTTTTAGGGAACATAAGCATACGGATGTTATATACACAGACTTTAGCAAAGCTTTCGATAAAGTAAATATCTCGATTCTCATACATAAACTTGATCTGCTTTATAATAGAACACAGCGAGTGATATTTGAGGATACACCTTCAGATACAATTAATGTTTCTTCCGCAAGGTAGTCTCTTGGCCCGATTCTGTTCTTTTTAAATTTTATTATACGCTGACGATGTAAAGCTTTTTAAATCATACACTTCAACTGAGGAGAGGTGTCTGTTGCAAACAGACTTAAATAATTTGGTTGCATGGTGTGATAGAAATGATTTGCCATTGAATCTCAATAAATGTAAGACGATGTGCTTTTTCCTTAGATTTGTGCACCACTCTTCTTATGTAATAAAACACCATATTCTAGAGCAAGATTTTAACTATGTTGATTTGGGAGTTAATATGGACCCTAAGCTTAATTTCAGTCTTCATATTGATACCATGGTCTTGAAAGCAAAAGCTGTCCTCAGTTTTGTTAAACGTTGGTCTAAAGAATTTAGAGATCCGTATATTACTAAAACACTTTATACAACTTTGGTTAGATCTATATTGGAATATGGCTCTGTGGTATGGAACCCTAGCTACCAAATCAATTCTGACAAGTTAAAGTCGGTTCAAAAACAATTTTTACTATTCGCCTTAGCGCATTTCCGATGGGATGCTAGGTAGTCTACCTCCATACACTGTCGTTTAAACTTTTAATCTACCTACACTTTCTAGTCGTAGGGAAATGCTTGGCATAACATTCTTAGTGAAACTTTTGAAGGAACTGTTTGCAGTTCTTTTCTCCTGTCTGAAATTAAATTAATATCCCGGTTCGCCTTTCGGCAGTTTAGACCTTTACTGCTAAAGCTGTAGATCAAATTTTGAACTAAACGAGCCATTCCGCCGTATATGTCATGATTTTAATTCTCATTCCAGCACATTTGACTTATCGGACTCACTTTTCAAATTAAAAATACTTTATTGTTTTCTCCTCATAAATGAAAATGTAACAATTATTATATTGTAACTTTAGATCTTAGCTGTTGAAATTTTGTTTCTGTGTGAGCAGTTTAGATCTCAACACTTAAAAACTCTCTTGCCTTTTCTGACTCGGCTAATTCCGCTTGTATGCGGATTACGCCCCTCGCGTCGGTTGGGCGGGAGGAGGGTAATCGTTGGTTATTATTATATAAGTAATAGTAAGTTGAAATTTCTATGACCTATTAAATATCATATTGTTCTGTAGTTTCGAAATTAAATAAAGTACTAAATACTAGTTCATATGATTAATATGATTAATTATAAAAATGTGTGATAAATTCACCTGTGTATAATTTTATTTTTCTCTACAGGGTGGGCATAAACGCACGTAAAGATACTTATTGCACTATTACTTATAGTAACATATAGAGAACAAGTAAGGAAGGACTAAGTTCGGATGTAACCGAACATTTTATACTCTCGCAAAGTTAAATGGTATACTCGTTTGAGATTTCTTGTGGATTGACTGATATTTCGGTAGAAGGTCAACATAGGCACTGGGTCACATATTTAGTACTTAGGGGTTTGAACAGTTTTGGTTCGATTTAGACAATTTTGGCCG